CACCCCACCCTATCCATGCCCGCGCAACGCGGGGGGAGGGGGAGGGTCCCCGCAGTTGTCCACGTTCGGTCGCGAGCCAGAAGAGCACTTGAAAATCTGCGGCCAGTGGTCCAGAGAGGGTAGGCTACTAGAACAAGGTCACACAGTGCGGGCCGCTGTAGGCCGGGATCTTGAGCCACACGCTATAGAGCGGGCAGGCAGGAACCTGTATTACTACCTCTGCACTGTGGAGGAGGGAAACTGAGGCTCAGGAAGGAACAGACTGGCCTGTGTCACAACGCGGGAGTCTGGAGGCTCTCTCCTTCCTGGGGCTCCTGCTTCTGAGAATGGGTGTCCCCTCGTGATTACCCCTTCCTGTGGAGCCCTCTTCCTCATCAACCTTTTTGTCTCAGGCAGCACTGGCGTTAAAAAGTCTAGAGTCAGACCTGGGCTGAGTACAAGCGCTCTGATCACAGCCTCCACTGAGCCCAGTGGCCACACCTGTAAATGAGGGCAACAGGAGTATCTATCCCCAACTTGAGTTGAAAAACCAAAGAGCTAACGAATGTAAGAAAGCTCTTTGCTGTGCCTGGCACTCAGTAGGTGTCAAATGCATGTGCCTACTTCTCCTGGCTCCCACTCAGCATGCAGAAGAGTCAGAACAGCGTTAATGGCTGGCAGTCAAGGCTCCTCACAGCCCATTTTCCTTCTCATCCACTGCCTGCCCACATCCCCATCCCAGAAACCACTGTTCCAGTGCCTAGCCTCTGCCTTTCTTGTGCCTGCAGTGCCCTCCTACTGTCTCTACCTGACAAACTCCTACTCACCCATCAAGACCCAGAGCAGTCTGTTTCATGTCCCAGCTCCTCACACTCTCTATTGGTCCACCCATTCCTCCCTTCTCAAGAACGTACACCCCTCTCCCCAGAGTCTGCACGGGCTTTGTCTGTCTCCTGGACTCTGACAACTGTGAGAGGAGACAAGGGGACCATTGCTGCCCAAGAGGGCTTCCTGGCAGAGGTGGGACTGTAGCAAAGCCTGGAAGGAGAGGTAAGTTTGGGGTCGGGGAGGAAGGCACAGAGAGGGCTGTGGGTTTGGGCAGGGTGTGAGCAGGGAGGAGCAGGTGGGCAAATCCTTCGCCACTGAGTGGGAGCCATGGGGAGCCAGGTGCTGAGAGTGACCTGCACTGTGTGGCCCTGGTAAGGACGAGCGGGTGTTCTCTCCAGAACAGGGGCCCCAGGGACACGTGCACAGGTGTTCATAGCAGACCCATTTGTAACAGTGAAAAGTGGGACATGGCCTAGCTGTCATCATCTGCACCCTGGGTGAGTAGTGAACTCAGACAATGGAGCCTGGTTCCACTTCGTAATCTTCCAAACAGGTGAATGCAAGCCACATGTACCCATGGGGATAAACCTCAAAATCAGAGTTGGCTTAGTCTGTGAAAATTCAGTCATATGGTTGTGACTTGTGTACTCTTTGTTTGAATTTCATGTTTCAATATGTTTTTTAAAAAATAAAAAATAGATAATGTTGGATGAAAATAGCAAAAGGAAACACAGCTTGGTGACGAGTATATAAAGTTTGTTTAAAAAACAGGCAACGCAACACTATATATTATTTAGGGACACATACATATGTAGTACAAGTGTAAGAACACTCATGGGAGTGATAAATAGGAAATTCAGGAGAGTAGTGACCCTGATGGAGAGAGAAGGAATGTAATCAGGGCAGACTGTTTATTTCTTAAACTGATGTGGTGGATATTCGGGTGTTTGTTATGCTATTCTCTATGACTTTTTCGTGAACAGGAAATAAATATTGTAACAATACCTTTTTTAAAGCTAGGCAGTTCCTGAGACAGGAGGCATGACTGGTGCCTGAGCAGATGTGTGACATGGTCAAGGAGGCTTTGTAAGGTCTGGGGAGAGGTGTGAAGGTCTAAGAAGGGCAAGGATAGGTTTACAGGGAGGAGGTAAAGTTAGAGGACTAAACAGCAGCACATGTAGGTCAGGGTCAAACCCTAAATGCCCACAGGACCTGGACAGGGTGTGACATGGGGTGGTGGGGATCACCACAGTCCATACCAGCTGATTGTTGCCATTGAAAGGAGTCCAGTAAAGTCACATCTTCTCAATGTTTTCAAAAGAAACCAGCAACTTAGACTTTTTAAAATGCAGCTGGGTGTGGTGGCCCACAACTGTAACCCCAGCACTCTGGACGGCGGAGGCAGGAGGATAGAAAGTTCCAGCCCAGCCTGGGCAACTTAGCCACTTAAACAACATACCATCTCTCAAAATAAAATATAAGAAAAGGCTGGGGATATAGCTCAGTGCAAAGGTCCTGGGTTCTGAAGAAGAAAAAGTCTCTCAACCGTTATGGCAACTATATTGGAACAATTTTACCTGTAGGGCCAAACCACGCTGGTTCACAGTCTCTCAATGAGAACAGGTCTGCAGGAGATGAAGTAAAGGGACAGAGTTTTCTTGTCTATGAGGCTGAAGGGACTCACCTTAAACAGCAGTCAGGGAGGACTTCCTGGAGGAACTGACAAGGAGCACTGAGGGGAAGAGACTTCCGGCGGAGACAACAGCACGAGCAAAGGCAGGGCTGATTGGAGTGAGCCGCAAAGAAAACATACCAAAAACAAGTACAGGTGATTCACAGAGAGGGAAACGTGTGTCAGGAAATACGCACGGCTGTGCCTAAGCTCACTAATCATCAGGGAAAAGTAGACCAAGACCATAATGAGAGGTCGCATTTAACCTGCAAAAATGACAAAGTCAACAGTACCCAAGCTGGTGAAGCTGTGGATCCACGTGCGCCTGGGGGAAGGGTGAGCTGGCACAAACACCGTGACCCAGCACTTCTGCGCACGTGTGCTTGGCCACTCATCCGTTGTTTCTCCAACTTTAATGTACAGATGAATCCCCCAGAGGTCTTGAGAAAAGCAGACTCCTGTTCAGCCAGTCTTAGACAGGGTCCCCAAGAGTCTGCATTCATTTCTAATGAGTTTCTGGGGATGCCAGGGTTGCTGTTGCGTGGACTGCATTTTGCAGTGCACTAGGACAAACGTACAAGAATATCCACAACAGCACTGTTTGTAACAGCAGAAGACCTGAAAATAATCTGATTATCAATTGATGGGAAAATAAATAAGCAAATGAAAGTGGTATGGTCACACATGGCCTTCAGAATGGTTGAATCACAATTATGCACAACACAGGCAAATTCTCATCAATACAGCATTGAATTAAACAAAAGACTATAAACAATATAGTACCTTTTAACATAAAATTGACACACATGTGAAAACAAACACATTGTGTAAGTACTCATACATAGGATAAAACTAAAAATAAAGAAACCATGGTAGGATAAAATCAAAGCTCAGAATCTTAGCGACCCTTAGTAGAGCTCTATGGGGAGGCATAGGAGATGTCAGATGCTAGTTTTTAGTTGGTGGGGTGGGCTAGGGCATGTTTTGATTATAGGCCAGTGCTGAGAGCCTGTCATGAACCAAGGACTCTGTGTAGCTCAATTGTGTGTATCTGAGTTCCATAATTTAAAAATAAAAAGGTGAGGGGGAAATCACAGAGACTGGGGAGAAAGTGGAGTACAGTGGGGTTCGTTTGGGAAAGGGTTAGTGAATACCAGCACAGCAAAGTGATTACAGCTCTGAGTGGAGTAGGTGCAAAAATTGTGGGACTTGGGCACATTTGCCTGACCCAGCCCAGAGGTCAGGAGGCAGCCAGTGGAGTAGGGAAGAGACCATGGCCCATGGGCCTCCAATGATCTCCCTTACTCCTGCCATCAGACCTGCCAGCTCAGACCATGTAGGCGCCAGAGCAGTGGACTTCAGGAATTACCCTGGAAGAGAATGGAATGACTGACTCAAGCCAAAAAATTTCCTAGTGGAGATAACAGCCAGCCCTTGGCAATGACCAGTGCTAGTAATGACCAAATCCAGGTGGTAACTATACTAAGTAGTGATGAGATTTGGTTTGTACCAAACTATATAACGTCTAGATTGCTCAAGAATGCCCAGCCCCAGTCCCAGTCTCCAGGTCAGTCACACATCTGGACAGGATGGGCCAACTCCTCAGGGACATAAAGGATAGAGTGTCCTGGTCCTTGCAGAGAACTTCCTCTCCAGGCTCCCATTCCGTTATCCCTCTTTCCAGTTCAACCTCACAGGAGTCCCAGAGAAATCTTTACATGCACAGATCTGACTGTGCCCCTTCCCTTGCTCAGAATGCTGCATGGGCTCCCTAGCATCTGGAGATAAAGTTCAGATTCCTTAGCTTAATATTCAAAGCCCTTCACCAGTCAGCTTTTTTACCTGCTCCTAAGTCAATTCTGGTCAAATCCCATGACTCAGGCACAGAATCTGCAGTTTCTCCCAAAACAAGCTCTTTCACACCTCATCCTTCTTACCTGGAATGCCTCTTCCCTCCTGAAGACTCACCTTTCAAAGTTAAACTCTGCTATCACCTACTCAGAGGAAATTTTCACTTACTTCTGTGTCCCATCCCTGTTCTCAGTTTTTCATCCTCAAGATATTTTACGAGAACAAGGACATGCTGTGTCTCAAACCGTGTATAGCAGACACTTCAGGTGCCAGCCTAGGATTCCAGCTGCAGTCATGTGGATCGCTCCACTTTTTACCTGATGGTGTTTTCTGGAGTTACAGAAACTGGCCCAGCCTAAGCACAGGACAACTTGGGAATGCAGGGACTCACTGCCTCCAGGATAACCTTTGATCCTCTGCAGGGAAGGAGGTCAAAGGCTCACCTTCCTAACCTTCAGGGAGACAGTTCTAGGGGTCTTCTCCACTGTTCCTCAGAAGACATTCAGCGGGATGGAGTCCAGTGGCTCACAGCAGGCACCTTCTTGCTAATGCACATTTAATGACCTTTTCTCCCTCCCCTGTATCATGCTCTGTACCCTTTCCTCCTGCTTCTTAGGACCCCTCCTAACTACTGCCTGTGCTCAAATTCCTGCCTTGGGCCTGCTCTTGGAACACTCAAACTCAGACACATCCATTTGCTTCTGTCTCTCTCCCAAGGCTAAAAGTATCTCCTTGAGGTTTGGGGCCACCCTGAATTCTCAAATTGTGGCATGTGACAGCCTGATCTCCCTCCGTGACTGTGTCACTTGTGTCTGTGTTACTTTGCACCTGTGGGCTCAGCCAAAGCAAGCAGAAGATGCCCAAATGGCTAGTAAGGGTTATCCTGGAGCAAGTTGCTATGATGAGATTTGGTTTAAGATTTGCCTTCCTCCTTGCTTCCTATATTTTCCAAATGTTTCAAGTGTTCGTGTCAATTTCTCTGCTTGTTTTGCTCTGTTTTCCCAGTGTGGAAGAAGTGTGGGCTCTGGAGTGATGAGGCCTGACTTCTAATTTGGCTCTGCCAACTTTTACCCAACTTCTGTGGTCCTCAGTTTCCGCAAGCAGAAAATGGACACGAGCACCAATGCTTACTTGGCAGGGTGGGACTGACTTCTGTAGTGCAAGAGCCATGTAAACCACGAAGTCAGTGGTGAGGCTGGAGTTATCGTTATCCCTGGGGCTGGCACCAGGCCTGGCATGGAGGAGGTGCCTGAGAAATGTTTGGAGAACAAACTGAAGCTGGAAGTGAAAATCCCACGGTGTTCCTCATCTCGTTCATTCACTCACTCATTCATAGTTGGACACTGGAGACACAGAAGTGCGTGAGGAACAGCTCCAGCCCCTAGGAGTCTCTCATCTTTGGAGGAGACCTGGGAGAACTCAGCATCTCTAAGGAGCCCCAGCTGAGTGTCACAGAGCGTGAGAAGCAAGTGACACCTGAGTTGTGCAGGACATAGCCTGACAAGCAAGAGCAGGATGGGACATTCCAGTGTCGCGTCATGCAGAGACTCAGAGGCCAGACCGGCACACAGAAACCACTACTGGCAGCCCAGGGAGGTGAATCCTTGAGTGCAAAGGTGAAGCCAGAAAGGACATTGGGGTAGACCATGGTGACCTCGAGGTCCTCTCCAGGAGCAGGAACTTCTCCCGAAGGTAATGAGATCTATAGAAAATGAAAAAATCTGCCTTTTGCATGAACTTGGACAGCTGCTTTGCCTCTCAATTCTGGTTTCCTCATCTGTACAGTGTGGGCAAAACTCTCCCAAGGACGCTCCAGAGAGGATGTGAAATGAACTGTGCTCATTGTCTGGCAGGGACGGGGAGGGGCTCAGTGGAGACGAGCTGAATGAACAGAAGTGGAGGAACGGATGAGACTGTGCCCAGCTGAGGAGCACCCTGGCCTTCCTCACACTTCTGCCCTGGGACTCACCACCCCCAGCGCTTC